AAGGTTAACATGGGGAATTACAGAGCCACTGGGGCGGAGCCCGAAAGGATTTTTGAGATAAGAATATGCCTATATGTTAATCGGGAATGTAAGCTATCATCATGCCAAATTTCAGCCCAATCCGTCCAGTGGTTTATGCGTGATTGAACTTCAAACAAACAAACAAACACACAAACACACAAACTTTCACATTTATAATATTAGTAAGATTAACATTACACGTGTATTAGCGGGTGAGGTTCATTTGTCCGAGTTTTCAACTGTCCGAGTTTCTAAAAAATTACAAAATATTTGAAAAATCATTTGTCCGAGTTTTCAACTGTCCGAGTATGGTTTAAATAATAATAATATTTCGTTAAATCAACTGTCCGAGTTTTCATTTGTCCGAGTTTTTAAATTATTTAAAAAAATATCAAAATATCATTTGTCCGAGTTTTCAACTGTCCGAGTAGGGGCAACATCAAAATGTGACAATGCGCGCCGAGACTAGCGTGTCTAACGCGCCTGTTCAGAAGTCGATGTGAACCCCTTCTGTGAAGGAGTCCGGCATTGTGCGAGCCGCGAGAGGCCCTCACGTCGACTTAAGAAAATTATATTATTTTTATTATAAGACTAATTTTAGCGAATTTCCCATATAGGGAATAAGCTATTACCGTAGTACTCATGGTAAGACCTGGATGCTGGACCGATTTTTTTTTCGTTTTGAGGTCCCTAGAGGCCAAAAACACCATTTGTTCAAATTCATATATATATATATATTTATATATTTATATGTTTATATATTTATATATTTATATATTTATATATATATATATATATATGTGTCCGTTAGCACGATAACTCGAGCAAAAGTGATCCGATTTTGATGAAATTTGGTACAAACGTGTAAACCTACGTTTATTCGAACGAGTTCGTGATCCAGCATGATCGGACCATGGGAACGGGGGTTTATGGGGGGTTTTATGGGGTAAAAATAGGTTTTTCCCATTTTTGACTCAAAAAACATAAAATTTTGCAATTTCTTTCTAAACCATTTTGTAGAGCTTAAAAAAACAAATAATTTAGTATATTGAAGCGTTATTATGCGCCTAATGGTTACGGAGAAAATTTCAAAAAATTGTAAATTTAAAATTCCCATGTTATTCTTATGGAGAATAAGTAAACTGTTGTAGTTTGCTTGTTTATGAACATATTTTGATCAAATTTGGAAAATGTTTTTATTTCTTACTAACTATTAACATTTTACAAAAACAAACAGTTTTACCCTCCCTGATGCAGCAAACCTAAGTACTTTTTAAACTAATTCTATTTAAATCGGGAATAAATGTTATATTTTTAAGTAGACATTTCAGTGTAAATCCAATCAGTCAAATGGAAATTCGCTTAGTCTGCAGGTTTGCTGCGGCGGGGGTATTTTACAATTTTTAATTATAAAATCAAACTGTCATCACCAAACACAACCAACCAAACTTGCTGATAATATAATAATTGCGGGGGTATTTTATATTATCAGCAAGTTTGGTTGGTTGTGTTAGGTGATGAGAGTTTAATTTTAGAATTAAAAATTGTAAAATTAGTCTTATATAAAAATAAAATAATTTTTCTTAATTCGACGTGAGGGGCTCTCGCGGCTCGCACAATGCCTGACTCCTTCACAGAAGGGGTTCACATCGACTTCTGAACAGGCGCTTTAGACACGCTAGTCTCGGCGCGCAGTGTCACATTTTGATGTTGCCCCTACTCGGACAGTTGAAAACTCGGACAAATGATATTTTGATATTTCTTTAAATAATTTAAAAACTCGGACAAATGAAAACTCGGACAGTTGATTTATCTAATTATTATTAGTTATTTATCAAAACTCGGACAGTTGAAAACTCGGACAAATGATTTTTCAAATATTTTGTAATTTGTAACAAACTCGGACAGTTGAAAACTCGGACAAATGATGTGATCCCGTATTAGCAATAGTCAAGAATATAACAAGTCAAAGGCTTAACAGGTCAAGCAAGCCTACAATAAATATATATCAACCATATTTTTTAACTAATGCAATAGCCATTTTGTTAGTTACAAAATATATCAACCATATTTTGTAACTAACGCAATAGTCATTATTTTTTCTACACTTATTTATTACTCATCAAACAATGCTAATTGGTCACATTTCTTATAATTTAACTCTGTCACAGTTAGAAGAGCTATCGTAAGCCTTTAAAGCAACCGTCGATTTCGACGTGTTTCACCTAGTAAATATATATTTATTGTAAGCCTACAATTCTTGACTATTGCTAATACATGTGTAATGTTAATGGCAAATAAAGATTTCTGTTCTATTCTATTCTATTAGCATCTTTTTGACATTTTAAAAAAACCCCGGGAAAATTTACTTAGGAAGTAGTGTGGCTACGTGGTTATTTTAAACCAAGCCAGCTTTTAAAAAGTGAACTAGAAGAAGAAGAAGACAGTTCAGTTAAATTAACAATAGTAACAATTGGTAAAAATGATGGTGATTAAATTAAATAGTAATATGACATGATACTATTGGTAACAAGACAACAAAATGCAGTGTGACAAAGAACAAAGTGGACGGATAACAAATTATCTATAACCAAGTAACAATAGTCCAAGTAAAAAAAGCCAAAAAAAATTAATTAAAGCATGAGATAACGTCAACAATTTTAAACAGCAACCTATTATTACAGACAATATAAAAATGTTCAGAACTTAAACAACAAAAAGTTAACAATGAATTGAATTTACCTAATTATCAAAAGAATTTGTTACGACAAAACCCACGTTGGCCAAACAACCTCACTAAGATGAACCCAGGAATACCTCTTCCACAACACTCTTAAAGGCATTTAACAATGAACCAAAGAAGTCAGCAGAACTGGTAGCCTCTCCTCCTAGTCTCAATATTATCTCGAGATGCCACTGTTGTAATCATATGAAGTTGGCTCGTACCTCCGGCGAAAAACAGTCATAAAGCAATTCCCACAAAGAGCCACCAAGGGTATGTCACTATGTCATGAAGGAGATCGGGGCAGTCCAGAACACCATTCACCAGCTTGAACAACAGCATCATGGTTAGTTTCGTGTGAAGTGGCTAAAGGTGTGATACTGAGCCTCAAGATCAGTGACTGGGGCATTGCCATTAGTGTATCCCATTCCCTTTCCTAGCATTCTAACAAAGCGAACTTGGACTTTATTAATCATATTGATGTGGCCAATCTGATGCGGTGACCATATGACTAACCCATACTCCATAACAGAAGGGATGAAGGACTTGTAGAGGATTAACAGCAATGTTGGAGATTGGAAGTCCTTTGTTGACCTCATAATGAAACCCACCAGAGAGTTAGCTTTGGGTGTTACGTGATTTATATGTACATTCAGGCCAAGAGAAGGGACCCATATTCACTGCCAAATCCTTAACCATTTCAACTCTCTTCAAACTCTTTCCATTTATACGGTAGTCAAATGGTTTACAAAATAACCCTGTTTAAAAGTTACAACTTGACATTTTGAGACGTTAAGTTCCATTGAGTTGTCTGTACACCAGCTGCTAATATTGTCGACTGGTTGCTGAAGGGATTCCTGTGATTGACACGTCCGGGCTCGACAGAAGATTTTGACAACATCAGCAAAAAGTAAATGGTCAACAGTTATCACGCTACCAATCTCGTTGGTAAACAGGCAGAGAAGCAAGGGACCCAGATGCGAGCCCTGGGGAACTTCTAATAAGGCTTAAAAAGGCAGGGATGTTACACCTTCGTGTCAAACTGTGAGTGATCTTCCAGTAAGATAGCTCTCCAACCACTTGAATAAGGGCCCCACAAACGCCATAATAATTGAGTTTAGCTCGCAGTATTTGATGGTTGGCCTTATCAAATGCCTTGGAATAATTAATGTGGACACAATCAATGGGGCACGATTCAAGAAAGGAAGCCATGATAAACTCCTGGAGCCCAAGTAGATTGGTGATGGTTGACCGCATGAAGCTGTGTTGCTCCCCTTATACATGATGCATTTACTATGGTTGACATAGTCAAGGACAATTCTGTCAAACCTTAGCAAAAAGTGCACTGAATCACAATAGCCCTATAATTCCTTAAATCAGATTTATCCCCTTGCTTACGAATGGGCACAACAAAGCTATGTGAAGATGGAAAAACACCTTCAGTGAGTAGAGAGCTGAACAAAATTGAAAGATGAGGGGACAATACAGGGGCGCAATATCTAAGAACATTCAGTGGTGTATCATCAGGGCCTGCAGTTTTTCTCACATCAAGGGCTTTGAGTTTCTTCGTAATGTCATGAGTCAAAATAACACAGTGAGAGAGAGAGAGAGAAGTTCCATCTAAAGCAAAAAAAATGGTGTTGGGATGTCAGCTACGTTGAATACAGAGGAAAAGAAGGAAGCCAAGTGTTCAAATTTACTGAATGCGTCTGTAGCTTCGAAGGCGTCCAAATGTATTTTAGGGGGAATGCTTGCAGACTTCCTTAGGCTACCAACGTGAGTCCAAATAAAGGATTAAAAATTTTTTTTAGATTACTGTGCCACGTACATTGCTTCCTTGCCATATCATTATTCTTGTAACATCTTTCGTTGTAGTTCTTTTTCTCTTCGTATTCATATTCTTCAACATTTTCTATTCTTATTGTTCAAGTCAATTCAATTCTTTAAATTCAATTAAATTGTGTTTATTCCTGGGCGAAATAAATATTAAAGACATCTTCTTGGCGAGACTACGTCAAATGTATGGCCATACACAATTCAAGATCTTTCCTCAAAAACTTCATTGTGGTAAAACTTATCTGTAGCAAAATTAACAAAACTCCCCTATATTTTTACTTCAAATAAAAATTTAACCATCTACAAATACAGTTCACATATTTAAAAAGCCTTTAGGCTTACGCAACGATACTATTCATTTGTGTTTACTACTGCCGTTAGTGTCTTTAAAGTGTTTAACTTACTTGTTTTATTTTTTCAGATAGAAGTAGGAAGTACCAATGTAAGAGTAGGCTCATCAATATTTGGTGCCAGACAGTACAATAAACCAGCTGAAAATTCTGTTGACAAGCTTGCAGATCAGGTCGCAACGACTAACATAGGCTAACTGTGGCTAGTTGGCCTTTTAACAATGGAAGTGACAAGGGTTAAAAGCAAATTAAATTTTACTTTGCAAAAAAGATAGTAAGGTCTTCCATTAAACTACTTTACCTCATTAATAGGACGGTACAGTAGAGTCCCGCAAACTTGGAACTCGATAACCCGGCAGTCTGGATAACTCTACCATCACCTGGATCAGAAAAAGAATAATATTTTGAGTCCGAGTTAAACATGGACTCAAGCCAGCTCAAGTAAAATCATTCACAACTCGTACCAAGGATTTTTTGTACTATATCTGATGACGTTATACTGACTTGTAATATTAAAAAAGGAGGTTAAAAAGCTTAAAAATTGTATTGTCCTTATTTTTAACCCTAGTTCCCGATAACCTGGCATTTCACAAACTCGGGACCCTTCCAGTCCACATTACGCCGAGTTTGCGGGACTCTACTGTATTAGTATGTAGATGGTCATTATTGCTAGAGTTTTAAGTCTTATTTATAGTGATGTGTTGGTTCCATTTTTTTACGGATCGGTTCCAGTTCGGTTCTTGGCCGAAAACGGTTCTCGGTTCCCAGTTCCAGTAAAACAAAAGAATTAGGAATAATTTGTAGCCTTCACGCTAAAATTTATTTTAAAACACTACTTGAGTTTAAAAAAAAATTACAAATGCTTCTGTTGGTAGCAGAACTTTCATCTCTTGATACTGAGTTTTACTTTTGCCTTGCCTAAAAAAAATATTTTTGAGCTTGAAGAAGAAGACATTTTGATGCAATACCGATAAATTATTATTGCCTGTTATGCTTTACGATTTAATTCATCTGGAATGAACAGACAAAGCAGAAAACAACTACCGAGGTCAAATGAAAGTCAACTCGTGCTCATCTGCTTTAAATATTTTAAGATACTATGGGCGCTGCGTCGCCTTAATATTTTTCACCCATTGTATGTATGAAGGCAATTTTCCAACAAACTATTCAATAGTTCCGCCTCTTGTCACTTAGATAGCTATTAGTGTTTTAATTTTAAAGTAATGTTATATAATTTAAAAATAAACTGCTGTACTGTTACGTAAGCAATAGATTTAATGTTTGAAAAAAAGTCAGAATAGAAAGGCAAAATAATAGAAGGGTGGTAGGGGTTGGGCAATAACCACAAAAAGAGTGCAGGTCACAGAGAGTCCAGTAGAGCAGGGTGAAGGGGTGAGTGTGACCTTGAAGCTATATTTTAGACTTGCACCACTTCACTAAAGGACTGAACGGGAATATCTATAACTAGCTGTCTGCCCATTGTACGGGGATCTTGTAGTAAGTTGAAACCTTCTTATATTCAGAACAGGAGTTGGTTTGCATATTTAGTGTGCATTTTTCCAGATATGCTGGCAATACACTGTATAGGAATACATATAAACCTTCGCAAATACAATATCTGACAGTTTCAAGCCAAAATGAATACTTCACAATAAAATGTCACCCGATTGTGTTAGTCCTTATTTTATATCCAATGATTGAAAAAAATTGCTTTATAGATCTATGAGGCATAGCCCTAAGATAGGCCTATAATTGAAAGTTACTTTCCACACTGGTTAAAAGTAGTTAAAATACTACCTCAACCTCACCACTGTACACATTATTCCGGTTGAAATTTTCATTAACAAAGGTGCTCTTGTTTTTTCCATGAAACACTGAGAAATAAGGACATTAATGCGTTACCAACAGACATACACACAAAAATACAGAATTGAATTTGGGAATTCGCTACACTTTAACTTAAGCAAGGTACATACAAAATTAGTATTTGAAATTTTTGATAGTGTAGTCAAATTTTATGATAATCAAATTCAGGCCTACTAATCGTGCAGTGTTAATGCCGTCTGTAATGACAATCTATCTATATATTAATTACGTAAGCCGATTCTTTGCGTCAAAATTGTGGGCGACTGGGAAGTCGTACAACGACGGGAGAGGTCTCCAATTAAAGGTCTTGACCCCGTGATGGCGGGAAAAATATAGAAATTCCCAAAATTTTAATACAAAATTAGATACAACGTAAAATGTTCTCCATAAGAATAACATTATAAGCCATTTACTGCTGATTTTTGTTTACTTCAATACACCTGATTGTGATTTATCATTAAGTCAGTAGGCAATATTAATATTACATTTGGATTACACATTTGCCAGTCAATTCTCGAATTCTGCGATGTAGGCCTACTGTATAGGCCTACTATATAAAACCAGGGATAACGTTACCTATAATGATTAAGACTTTTTAGCTGCATCTTAGAAAGTTGAAGTCAATTATTTTACTGTGCAATTTGCAAATTGTGTAAATTGAATTAAATTAGTCAAGCGTATGATAAGTGTAGAATCATAGGAGAAGGAAATGAGCTTAGAATGGCTGATAAATAACAAGTTATTTTCTTCTAATTTGAAGCTTATTGTTGTGTTGAAGGAATGTTTAACATGAAATAACAACATTGATTAAATAATAAATGATTCAATATTAAATGGAAAAATTCTGATTAGTTTTGATTTCAAAACACGTGTTAAAGATTTATTCTACACCTTTTTGTATATTTACTAGCATTTTTAATTTGAGATTATTGTTTAATCAAAATGTTGTATGAAGTGAAATAACCTCGACGGCCACTCTTAGAAAACGACCTGCAAATAAAGTTAAAATAGGTTCGTATAGGCAATATATTTGTTCATTAAGTAAGTACTATGACAAGTTCCAATAGCCGGAAAACCATATTGTTTGGAGGATATTTTAACCAGGTCTGCCTTTTGCCCCAAGCAAAAAAGGTTAAAATAATATGACCTAGCATGCACGGTGGTAAAGAGAGCATCCATTTAAAAAAAAACCTAGAGGTAGTTGCCGTTTCTTAAAACTAACCACAAATATGGATGTATAAGATGCCGATGAAAAGAATTTTCGTGATTGGTTTTGTTAACTGGGTAATGGAACCCTAACTGGTCGTAAAATAAGTAGGAACTAGCCGATGGTTAAGCCTATTTTGATAGCAAATGTAAAGTCAATCGCACCTTTAGGAGGAATACCGCCATGTAAACTTACAATAGTTTTTTTTATGTTGATCAGAAACAAATCTAGGGTTAAGTTTGGTCAATGGGATGCCTTTACTTTATACTAATTTTGTTAAACCTTAAAAAAGGAGTAAGTTAACTTAGAAATGATAACTGGGATAATCTAGCGGTTTTGACCAAGAAATAAGCTTATCTCAAAACACATATTATTTACATTTTCATATATATTTGACGAAGACGATTTCTAAAATTCCAATCAGGGGAGATTTTATTTATCCTCCATTAATCACATGACCAAAGCTACCTTAGTAAACCAGTATTTATTCACAAACAATTATATGTTTGCTGCCTTTTCATGTTAAACCCCTGGAGTGAGTTAAATTATTAATTGAAAATAACATCAACAAATAAAGCAAAAAAATACTGACAACAAACTGTTTTTTACACAAAAGATATAGTGTACATAGGGATACCTATCCTGACACATAGATAATTTTATTCTGAGTTTGTTTAAATACCGGATTTGCAATAAGTTGTTTTACATTTGAGATTTTTAGGGACTTATGTCCCTACAAGCCACTAGTCTATATATTAATTACGTAAGCCGATTCTTTGCGTCAAAATTGTGGGCGACTGGGAAGTCGTTGAATGACGGGAGAGGGCTCAAATTAAAGATCTCGATCCCGTGACGGCGGGAAAAATAGTGAAATTCCCAAAATTTTAACACAAAATTAGATATAGCATAAAATGTTCTGCAAAAGAATAGCATTAGAAGCCATTTACTGCTGATTTTTGTTTACTTCAATACAGCTGATCAGGATTTATCACTAAGCCGGTACGCAATATTAACATTTGGATGACGTAATTGCCAGTCAATTCTGCAATGTACTATATAAAACAACGTTACCTATAATAATTAACACTTTTAGTTATGTACATTATAGAATATTGAAATAAATTATTTTACTGTAAAACTTTTCAAATTTGTGTATTTTTAACGTTTACGTTTAACATGAAATAACCACATTGACTAAATAATTAACGATTCAAGATTAAATGGAAAACTTTTGCTTTGTTTTTATTTCAAAACATATGTTCAAGATTTATTCTACACTTTCTTTGTAAATTTACTAACATTTTAAATTCGGAATTTATTGTAGTCTTTAGTCAATATTTTGTATGAAGTGAAATAACCTCAACGGCTACTCTTAGAAAATCACCTGGGAATAAAGATGGAATAGGTTCATACAGGAAATATATTTGTTAATTAAGTACTATGACAAGTTCCAATGGGCGGAAAACAATATGGTTGGTGATTTTAAACCAGGGGTGCCCACAAGGGGGGGCTGTGACGCAGACTGCGTCATTGAAATTTTAGGGGGGGGTTGCAAAAATTCAAATGGGGGGGGCTAAAGTTAATTGAAACAGTGTTTAACGTGACGACAATCAAAAATATATTACGAAATTTCCAGATGGAAAGTAGATTAATTAATAACAATATTTATATTATTGAATTCAATTAGTTAAAATAGGATTTTAGGATAGTTTAGGATTCGTGTAGGAAGTTATTATTCAAGATTATCAAGACGTGAGATCTAAGAGGGAGCGCACGCAAGATTATCAAGACGTGAGATCTAAGAGGGAGCGCACGGGATGACTCAACTGCTGTGATAGATAAAAGATAACGTGTGACAGACACGTCCAGCTACACCGCGACTCAGCACAGAACGCTTTGTTGACATAAAGCTCGTTAAAATACAAACAAGTAGCATAGGCTACAATACTTTACACTATTGTGTAGATACTCGATTACCTGAGTTAATAGGGAGGGGGGGTAATGAAAAGTACGGTTGATCCAATATAGTATAAAAAGAGATGACAAACCCATTAAAACGCTGTAAACAGCCATTAACGTCACGATTTGCATTTTTGTAAACGAAATTCAATATTGCACAATCATTATTTATTGTGCAATTACATTTTTATTATACATTTAAAATCATTTATTTTGGTTCAGTATTCAGTTGTACAAACGGCAACGTTTAAAATTATAGCTAACTCAAACTCAACCAATAATAACTAGCCAAACACGGCATTGCTATAGATAACGTAAATATTAACGGAACCTTTAGAAAGTGTTATAAGCTACTGCTCATGATAGACAGATAGGCTACCGATAGGTGCTGTATCACAGCATAGGAATTGATAGATAAGTTAAAAAAAAGTGTAAAATTATATTTAGAGATAATAAAAACCCTTTTAAAAAAGAATGTAACTAGAACAATCTTGTTATTCTTTTTCTTT